CTCGCAATCGAATTCATCGTAAAAGCCAAAATAAGCATTTTCCTGGAGTGCTACTTATAGGTGACCGTCCACACATGTTGATGATGATCATGAATGTTACATGGCAGAGACTGAAAATGCAGAAATCAGACACCTTCTTAAATATATACTTCACCCATCAACCTGCAATCAATACCTGAGTGAGAATAACCTAGAATTCCACCTGGGCTATCATAACCTACCTCAGGTATTTTATTACGATGGATATATCACGACACATGACAACGGTGTCAGATTTCTGTTGTCACGACACATACCTGAGACTATAATAGTCTAATCTAAGTCGTTTTTTGTTTATATAAACAAAAAACGACTTAAGAGTTTTTAAATAATCCAGAAGAAGAAAAAATATGTGAAGTTCTTGATGATGATAAACTTATTGAAGGACTTGTTGAAGTATATAAAAAACAACCAGAAGTGCCTATTGACAATAATGAAGATGACGATAGCATTGAACCAGTAATAATAAGTGCTAATGAAGCTTCCAAAAGTTTGGAAATTGTCTACGCCTTTTTACTACAACAAGGAAATACTAAAGAAAAATTAAAACAAGTTAATGCTCTTGATCGGTATATTAATTTAAAAAAAATAAATTCAATGAAACAAACTACAATGGCTCAATTTTTATAATTTTTTATAATATATATATACATATATAATAATAATAAATAAAATTTTTTTTAACAATATCCCGCATGTCACGTGCAGCCAATAAGATTCTTACCCTCCCTAAATGCATCCCTCCATAAATGCACGGTCTTGTCCATTCCCAAAGGGGGTGCACTTATGGAGGGTTGACTGTATTTTTACAATTGAACCATTTAGAGAATTTTAAATCTAGTTTAATTCATTCAATCCTTCACTATTATTTTTTTTTAGTCTTTTGTATTCCTCTATAGCATCTTTTGAATATTTAACTTGAGAAAAATCAAATTTTAAAATTCGAAGTTTATCTAAAGAATTTACCCTGCTCAGAGCAACATATACTTGTCCTTCTGCAAATATGTTTACTATTGAACCTGCTATCAGATGGTTATAGTTTGCATCTTCATCACGTATATCTGTTGGAAATGAATCATTTGGAACAACTAAATCATATGGCTTTGGAACCTCATTAGGTAAAGTGCTTCTATATGTATGAGATGACACATTTATTGACTGTTGTGCTAAAGGTAGTTGAAGTGGTATAGAATCACCTGGAAAAAGATGTATAATATCAGTTGCATATTTTTTAATAAGTTTGTTGTTTTGTTTAAGCCAATTCAAGACAAGAATTAAAATTTCATGAAATCACATTTGTGGTTCATTGGCATTCAGAAAAGCTCCAATTGTTCCAGAATATAATTCTAAAGCACAATAATTATCTGTAATATTGATTTGTCCTTCAGGTGAACATAATTTATATAATGATTAGATCCAGTTGAGCGACCCAATGAGCAATTCATATGTACTGTTTGGCTGAACTCGGGTAGAGTCTATGTTGTAACTAGAGATGTTCCAATGCGCATGTCATGCGCATGTAAT